CTTTCTAAAAACGTATATGTGGAATAAGTTAGTGCCGTTAAATTCAAAAGGAATTTTTCGTGAAACCGAAAGTTTTGGCAAGACATTATATACCATTTGAAAGAAGATTTTTTCATCTACAAAAAGGTAGGCGTGGCTTGTTCAATGATTCTAGTTTTGTTGAATCAGAAATAATTGAAATTGAATGTATAAGGGAACATAAAAAAAGCTCAACCCATAACCTAATAGGAAACTTGAAAATTGTTATAATGCTACCTATGGGAAAATAGGATATGCTGACTAAATCATAGCCATTCTCCATGATAGGGCCTTACTCTATGACTGGGTTAGTACTTGCTACAGCAACCAAGATCACGATTCGCTCGGAAAAGTTATCTAGCGGGTTTATCTGACATGCTGATTAGAAATGATGCCCAAATCGGAAACTAAGCCCTCATATAATTAGGATGGACATAGGTAAGCTTAAATCATTGGTCTAGTGGGAAAGGAAGAAATGGAGAAAAGTCTCATGTCTACCGTGCGAAACTGCTTCAGCATAGAGATTGTATGATAATTTTTGGAGTAAGCGTGTCTATTAACGCCGCTATACCACTTTCAGGCAAATCTGTGAAGTTGACCTTATATCGTATACCCACCGTAACCCCTACGTATGGTACTATCGCGGGGAGCAGCATTAGTTTTCGTAATAAGCATAGCTTATTAACCCACCGTCGTTATGGTAGATGCTGGGTTTCCCCATGAAAATTAACCTATTGTTAGAATTTTCGCCGTCTTGACATATATTTTCAATCACTTCTAGTTTAACAAACCTGGGTTCACTGAGCAAACTGAGTATACTGTTTTGGAAAGGGAGACCTCTACTTTTGAATGATTGTACAGTCGAAACTTTCGATAGAACATTTCTGAATTTGAAGAAAAAAGACGAACCTATTCATCAACCCATTATGTTACTCACTATTTCAATTAAATCAATTTCAAAGTCACACAATTGGAACAAACAGTGACGTCACTTTGAAAACGAAGAAACTGCAAAAAGTGATGTACTCTTAACTAATCAGTAGTAATTGATTTTTAGCTGTAGCTCTCATATTACATGTTATAGTTTACGTATTGTACGTCAGATGAATAAATAGATATTTTTGCATCAGTACCATGAGCGCACAACGTGCTCAGAGGAAACAGATCAGAGATTAAATTCGTTTGTTTTGTCGATAACTCCTTTCAATCCTCAACGCCTGCATCTTGTACAACACGTAGTTTTTTTCCCTCGCTCACTACCTTAATGGGAATTATGCGATGATAGCTTTCTTCATCATATCAAACATTATTCGGTTAGTAATTGTGTAAGGATCAATTCTTTATTTGAAAAACTCTCATGATTGTCTCGAACTTACTCCATTCGATAATGGTCGTGAGCAGACAGCAGCTGAACCAGCTGATCCCCGTATCCCAAGTACAAGCAACGCTGCGAAAAGGGTGAAAGGAAGCATTGTTATCGGCTTATCACCATTTCTCGGGTGGTTTATCATTTGGGGAGATCGTTTAACCTTAACATTTTTAACGACTTGAGCGCGCTTCTTCCTTGCTATAAACGAAGATTTATATCATCACATACTGCTAAACCACTACTTTGCTGTTTTTTGAGGCTTCTTTTGAGTTCTATTGTAAAGTTTTCGCGTTCATACGGCTGCAGTGTTTCCACGTCCCAGACGCCCCAGAGTGAATAACAACACACGGTGCACTTGTTGTGGAGGTCTCTACACTTTTGCCTTCATTGCATAATATCGCTCCAAAAGTCCTGTTTTCCCAGAAACAAGCGCATCTTTTGGGTACTGCTATCCTTGGTTTACGAAACGATCAATACGGCAGCTATTCGTTGTCAGCGTGAGTCAATATGGTGTGAAGCTCTGAGTGAGTGATGGTGCATGGTCAGATGGCAAAATAAAGTGCTGAGCGGCCCTTTATTTGCTTCCACTTTCCTGTCTTGTTATTTTCTCATAAGATTGACGTTTATTCATTCTCGTTACTGACTAAAAATACCAGCATCTTGAAGCCGTGAAACAATGAACGCTTTAGGCAGTTTTGCAGCTATCGCTATAGGACTAGGTTCAACTCCCAAATACCCCAGAAATATCCCACTGCTGACAGATACTTCTTGTCAAGATTTGGTCGTTGAGCAGTTGTTTCTTCGATTACAATTTCTTTTTCTACAATTTCCTTACTGTTTCTCATTTCTAGTTTTATTGATAGAGATGCAATCACTCTTCGCTTATAATTGCTAATTCAGCTGCAGTGAAAGTGGACTTTTTCAGTTTACAACTTGTTTACATTCAAAAATGCACGTGTTCTTTCCACTTCTTTATTTTCAGTAAATCTCCATGCAGTTTTCGGTAGTCTTTCTTGCTTCCTTTTTGCACTTTCTAACTTCAAAGCCTAGAGGTGTTAGGTATGCAAAAAAACGCGCCCCTTCCTTGTTTTTTCCTAATTTTCCTGGAAAAAGTAGGAA